TCTTCTTTTTCCCCCCATGGATGTCAATGGGGACCATCAAATGAAGGTGAACTATCCCTTTAAGGAATGCAATTGGTGAGCATTTTAAACAAGCACCATTTTGAAATATCCTAAGTTATTTCAGATATTTTTTGTCAGACTTTATTTTTATTATCTTAACTTGTATTTATAACATTGTATTTATTATTGTATTCATCATCTTGTATTGTATTTATAATATGTTATTTTGTCATTAAATTCTTTGACATTTTTATCATTTTGTATTCTATTAAGTTGTTAAAAATTTTGCATAGATGCAAAAAAAAACAATGCAAAGAACATACCTGGGCCAGTGACGTGACGCTAATTTATCCTACAATAAGAAATGCAATTCATATAGACAGTGACTTGAATATAAGCCACGACACTTCTGTGATTAACTAGTTTTAATTTTTTTTTTTAATTAAAACACTATTTGTAGCTTTAAAAAATAGACTAACAATACAGCATGTTGCTGTAATGAAAAAATACATTATAAATAACCTCGATCCGCTGCCGCCCTCTCGTGGTTAAAAGTGGCACCTGCATCAGATAAAGATCCGAATTTTTCATGTTCACCACAGGTGTAATGTAACGCATCCATACAGGTGTAATGTCCACAATCGAAAGCTGTGTGAAATATATTTGTATAAACAAATTTATTTTAAACATGATGGCTCAATGACGTTATTTATTATATTCTAAAATAAAAAGTGACTTAAATGTAATATTGTCACATTCTAAAAATGGTATGAAAGAGGGGAACTGCAATAAAAAATGAGGTGCCAGTAACGTTAATAAAATAATAATTGCAGTTACTGCCATGAAATATAAATGAAAGGCCACTTCACATTTCAGCCCATTAGATGGCAGAAATACACCGTCATTACATTAGAAATCAGAGCAGAAGAAGAGTAACTGAACAGCAGCTGTAAATGGAAAGAAGTGAAGAAACAAACATTAGGATTTACTGCAGAGAAAAACCTGACATGTTAGAGCTGATCCAGAAACCTGCAGGATGAGTGAAGGTGATCCAGGTGTGTGTCTGTCTCGATTCCTTACTGATGACTGATGAACATTCAGGTCTGATACATTAGAAGAGCTGTACAATAACCAATAATATAAGGCAAGAGCTAAAAAAAAAAAAAACTGACATAATGCATCTAAATAATAATAATAATGCTTAACACATAAAAATATAACAAAAACTAGAAAATGTTAATCAAGACAACTCCTATCTGAAGTTTTACCATTTTTAAAACATTGAATTTTTAAGGTTACAGGTTAAAGATGGATTTATTTAAATTAATAATACTTTATGATCATATAGCAGAAATCAAGTTTTCTTACAGTTTTAGCAATATTTATTTATGATATTATTGGAGGTCAGTGATTATTTAAACTTTTTTTTCTTTGCATAAAGTGCAAAAATATTAACTGTGAATAATTTATTGTGTTATGTTGTGTTGTGATTATATTTTGCCGGTTAAAGTCATTATTAGAAATGTTTTTTTTTTCAGCCCTGTAATATTTAACTATATACAAACTTTTTTTTTTTTTTATGTCCCTGTAACTCAAATAAACTAATTAAAACAAAAAGTGCAGCTTTTAACAAATATTTTTTAAATGAACTTATAACAGAACTTATAATCATGTGTTTATTATTGTTATAATCATTATTTGAATAATATATTATTTTCTAAATATTCGGTTTACAAAAATGCATGTAATTTTAATTTGGTAGATGCTTTTATGCACAGCAGTGTTATTTTAGTATCATTGAGATATTAAAGTTCAAATTGTTTTAATATTTTGGAAACAGGGCCCTCAGCAGCAGAACAGAATTCTTCAAATGTTTCCAGTCTTTCTCATAATATAAGTGACTGCTGTGAAATTGAGACTATTATAACAAGCATGATTCCAAACATAAATGGGAAAAAACAACAGATTCACAAGATAAATCATATGTGGAGCTTTCAGTGAAACCTTGGGAGGGGACTTTCTCTCCAGATTAGTGAGTTTTAATGTTTTCATGGCATCTGTTTTGTGAGAGTTCCTTAACTTTGGTTTCATAGGGAGATCAGACCAGCCTTACAATGTGTATTTGCATCTCTTGAGAGAGTTGAGTGTAGTTTAGGTCTGTGGGGAAAGAATGAAGTGGAATTCACTTTATATGTGAGAATTTCTGCTGAGAACTTTCAATCTCCATCATATTCTAAGCAGATTTTGTGTGGTCTCAATGCTCAGAATAATCTGCATGGGTTTCTAGGTGCCTTTTTCATTTCAGCCATGTGAAATTTTTTTCCAACGTGGTTCGTGAAATGACTCTAAATCTAATGTTTATCAGCTGTGTGTACATTAATTTTATTTATTGGGATATATTTATATCTGACTATCTGTTGTACATGTATTGAGCTCAACCATTGTCCAATTCCTGAACAAATGACTATTAAAAGTCATCAGATCAGAAATGATCAGCTATAGTGGTTACAGAATCGAATTTGCTCTAATTGTGTCTACTTTTCACACATTCACACATCTAATCGATGTCTGTTTGCAGCAATCAACCCTCAATTATGGATCTTTTTTATTTTCAATTACTGTTTGATCAAAACACTTAAAGCTGGATGATTGAGAGCTATTGTAAGTGTGATGAGCGTATGCTAAATGAGCTCCATTGACACCTTCAGTGAAGCCGCTCCACAGCCGTTCATGAGAGTTTAAATGCTGGGGAATATTCCCATCTTCCCACAGCTGAAGAAGAAGCAAGCAGGAGGAATTACTCCAGGAGAAACAGCTGACATACTGTTGGAAAGATGGAGTTTGAGGAAGAATCCTGCAGAATGAGAGATGAAGATCCAGAGGAACAAACAGGTTGGTTGGACCTTTCGCCTGCTCTGATTGTGGAAAGAGTTACTCACGTAAACCAGACCTTAACAGACATGAGATTTCACACTGGAGAAAGACTGTTCACATGCACTCAGTGTGGACAGAGTTACATACATAAACCAGACCTTAACAGACACATGAGAATTCACACTGGAGAGGAGGCTTATACATGCACTCAGTGTGGAACGAGCTTCATTGACAAAGCAAACGTAAAGATGCAGATGCAATTCAGATTCATCACATCACGTTTGGTGAACAACTCTTGAAAGATGAAAAGATATTAAATCAGTCAAGTTTAGGTATGGGGTTGGATGGGGTTTATTAATGATGTATTTTATTGTGTATATGCCCTCTTTAATATCTGTAATATTCTGATTGCATGTTTTGAAACAATGAGAAAGAACAAAAAAATGACTTGACTCATTTAATGACATAAAGGTGACATAAAGGGTTTTAACATCGCTCACTCTATAAATAAAAATAAATATCTGCACCACAATTTACAATTTATGTTTAAACACAAGATGAAATTGGTTATGAAGCCTGAATGAAATGCTTGTGTTCTGTGTCTGTAATTCAGCAGTGAAATACTAGTCTATCTGCTATCTAGTGTTAAAAAGATCATCTATGCTTTTACTTTATATGGTTATACTTTATACCTTTGACTATCTTGAAAAAAAGAAAGAACATAGTCTCAATCGTCGAGAAGAAGAATTACATGAGGGATAGATATACTGTATAAAGTTGATAATAATTTGGCAGTGCCACACATTTGACTGTAGATGGCGCAATTTGTTTTCATTTCAACAATGCGATGTCGTTGAGTCCATTGAGGGTCATGAAACTAGTGTGCTGTGTTTATCAGACAGGGGACATTCGTTTTATTTTATTATTGAGAGAAACCTAAATCTGACAATAACACAGGCATGCAGCAGTTGAAGGAGTCCAGACGGTAAATACAACTGCATACTCCTTAGCAGATGTCCAAAATGATCTATTATGGCGAAATTGTGTCACCTATATAAAATCTTATTTCTAAATCAGTTTTGTTTTTCGTATACCCCAAGGAACATTGGAATATAATGTTGCTCCTTTTATAAAAGCTTTTGAGCGGTGAGTGGATTCTAACTTAAACGCCTCTGATTGGCTATTGCGTTCTAGAACTCAACAGATATGTCTGTGATTGGCTACAATGCTCAACGCTGCAAAATACGTTGTAAATAGAAACCTTTGACGCTCCACAGCGCAAACACAAATACACACTGGATCGTTTACCAAATCTGCTAATACAGCTTCACCTGAGTGTGCTCATGCTTTCCTTTGAGGGTGATTAAAATCACTCAGAGACTGTGAAAGTTCATGAGCTGTTTTATGGTGTTTGAAACTCAATCTGTAAATAGTCTGGATGGAAATATTTCAGAATCGGTAAGTTTGGTCATGGCATAGTTTATGATTGAATGGGAGTTTGTAATTATATTTTCTGACCTCTTTAGTGTTGTGTGTAATGCACTAATTGCACATTTTGAAACTGTGAGAAATAAACAAAAAATAATAAAACTAATCGTATGATTCATTTATTTAATGTACTTTAGTTTGTGTGAAACAATGTATTCAACATTGCTATTCAATTAGTAAGAATCATTTTAAACAAACAAAATAAACTACAGATGTGTTTTTGTATTTAAATAATATGAAGAATTATATATATATATATATATATATATATATATGCAAATTTAAAGCATTATTGTCTAGTGGTTCCTTTTGCATGTGAATAATAATGAAAATGACTGGATTTTTCCCTCTTGTTGTGTCTTTATCACTTAATTCTCAGATCGTTACTGTTACAAAGCTCAGATTTGTCTCCATTCAGCTCACATTTACATTTCTAATAATGCCAATGAAAATATCAGAAGACAGGGGTTTCAAATGTGAGAAGTCAGCAGTTCCTCGCTTTTCAGACGAAACAACTCCATGCTGCCCTCTGCAGGTGAGAAGTGTCGCAAAGCAGTTGTAGTGCGCATGCGCATGCACCATGTGAGTTCAAGTTCTAGTACTGCTGCTAGGCTGATAAGGTTAAGCATCTGTTAAATTACACATCAATCTTCATTAAGTGAAGCCCTGCCTATACATACTCACTATTTAAAATGCTGTAGAAAATTCCCATCGTCCCACACCCAACAAGAAAAACGACTTCAGGAGAAACAACACGACCAACAATTGAAAATGACTGATCCAGAGCCCTGCAAAATAAAAAATGACGACACTGAGGAACAAAGTGGTAGGTGTCCATTTTTGATTTCTCATTAAAAACCGCTAAGGTCACACCTTTATATAAATGCAAAATCATAGAAATGCATCTGTGATCATAGTTGCCTACTTAGTTGATTTACAATGACTTAAGTTATGTTTAACACCTGATAGGTAGCCTAACCAAAAATTAAATACTTGAGGATGATTGCTTTCTGCTGTTAAACTATGAATTTGTTTTATCTTTTAAGTGTCTAATGTGTTTATTTTAGAACAATGTGGAGCTGAGGAGACACCTCATCATCTCCACAAACAACAAAGCACTCAAAAAAGAGGAGAGAAACGTCCCTTCACCTGCTCTCTGTGTGGAAAGGGCTCCATGCGAAAATCAGACCTGAAGAAACACATGAGAATCCACACCGGAGAGAAACACTTCACGTGCCATCAGTGTGGAAAGAGCTTCGTGAGAGCAAATATTCTCAAAAATCATCTGCTCTCTCACTCAGGAGAAAGATCATTTGGCTGTGATCAGTGCGATAAGACATTCGTTTTGGAGGTGTACCTAAAGAGACACATGAAAGTTCATGCTGCTGTGAAACCTCATGTTTGTACTTTTTGTGGAAAGAGTTTTGCACTAATGCAAACTCTACAAGTTCACCAGAGTATTCATACTGGAGTGAAACCTCATATGTGCTTTGACTGTGGGAAGACCTTTACTACATCCAGCGACTTAAAAATACACCAGAGGATTCACACTGGAGAGAAACCTTACAAGTGCTCACACTGCGACAAGAGTTTCGCTCATTTATCATCTCTGAAAACGCACGAGAGAGTTCATACTGGAGAAAGGCCGTACCAGTGCTCTTCATGCAGGAGGGGTTTCACCAATTTACCAAATTTACTGAAACATAAGAAAAGGTGTTGCCTAAAGAGGTCTACATGACTTACAAGCCAATAGTTTGATATTCTGATAGAGCAAGCAATGTAACCTATTGGGCCAAATTTGCAGAAGATTGTTGAATATTGTTTGCTCAACAATGGAAGTTGCTTTAAAATGCCACAGTTTTAGTTGGGATGTTTTATGTTGGGGAGTAAAATAAGTGAACGATATCGATTAGTCCATTACTTCTACATCCATATGCTGAGCAAATTGTTGTTGGTTAGGTTGTTAAGAGGTGGTGTGATGCACTTTTATTATTATTTATTATTACTACTGATCTCATTTGTTGAATCTATTGTCATATACAGTATATCGTATGTATAATTTATGCTACAGCAATAAAAAGTGAACAAAACCTTGTACTTGTTGTAACCTTGTCATTCTTTTAAACTTAAAAAGTGGAGCAGATGTTTTTCAATTTATATTTCCTATCAAAATAACACACACCACTGAGAAGATCAAACTGGATATGAAAAAAAAAACTGTTTTACAGCTGCAGTCTAGTGGTTAAAATATAAACTAACATGAAAATAATTTAAGCTTTTAACTGCATGTCTACATTTATTAAAGCCAGCGTCCTCCAAACACAAGAGAGATGAAGAAATGTTTACAACTTATTTCATCTTTTTTCTTACATGGCTTTTGCCATTGATTAAAGAGAAAAAAAAGTTATTTTTATTGCCTTGAGTACGTTTCTTATTTTGAAGCAGATTCTGTGCATCAGAACTTAAAAAGATTATGATGCAGAATGTGAAGATGATAAATGCAAGATAATGATTTGCTACATTTTAATCAGTAATTGTGCCATTTTGTATTTCTTGTATAATTATTGAGTTACAAAATACACACAGTTCCCTTACTATTATAAGATGCTGCGTCTAACAAGATTCAAAAGATTTATTTGTTTTGATCAAAGTAACCTGCATGACTTTCTTTATGAAGTTAGGACAACTTTATGAAGTTTAGTAACTCTTGGTGGCGCCGTTTGAGTCAAACACGTGGAGGCTCTGAATCTGCTGTGTTTATCAGACTGTGAGTGCATTCAATTCATTATTTATTATTGTGAGAAATCGAAATATCAGAACTTGGCATTAAGCTCGTCCAGTGTCTGATTCTCTAGCGAATGACTCGATTTACAGAATCTAAAACAAATCTGACTCTGATAGTGAGTGCGTGAAATTAATACTTTCGTCATGTCCGACTTGAAATGAACCAAGATTGAGACTCTGAACTGCTGTGGGAATTGAAATATGTTTTAACAATGTTGGAAATCTGGAGCTCATTTCTGACAGCACCACATTTGAGAAGATAAAGACTGAAATATCATAAAGAAATAACAGTTATTTACAGTAGATGAACACAACACTCATTTGATGTTTGTCATTGTTTCATGGAATTGTTTCTAAATGACTATTTAAGCGAAACACTTAAAGCTGGATGATTGAGAGCTATTGTAAGTGTGATGAGCGTAAGTTTGAGGAAGAATCCTGCAGAATGAGAGATGAAGATCCAGAGGAACAAACAGGTTGGTGTTTTCCTTCAGTCTCTTTAATGACTGATGAGGAACTTTAAGATGAAAACGGACATATAATACATCTAAAACTAGATACTAGTAGACTTAAAGGGATAGTTCACCCAAAAATGAAAATTTGATGTTTATCTGCTTACCCCCAGGGCATCCAAGATGTAGGTGGCTCCACAGCCGTTCATGAGAGTTTAAATGCTGGGGAATATTCCCATCTTCCCACAGCTGAAGAAGAAGCAAGCAGGAGGAATTACTCCAGGAGAAACTACTGACATACTGTTGGAAAGATGGAGTTTGAGGAAGAATCCTGCAGAATGAGAGATGAAGATCCAGAGGAACAAACAGGTTGGTGTTTTCCTTCAGTCTCTTTAATGACTGATGAGGAACTTTAAGATGAAAACTGACATATAATACATCTAAAACTAGATACTAGTAGACTTAAAGGGATAGTTCACCCAAAAATGAAAATGTGATGTTTATCTGCTTACCCCCAGGGCATCCAAGATGTAGGTGACTTTGTTTCTTCAGTAGAACACAAACGAAGATTTTTAACTCAAACCGTTGCAGTCTGTCAGTCATATAATGGAGGTGAATGGGAATCACGGCTTTGAGAGTCAAAAAAACATACACAAACAAAACCAAATTAAACCCTGCGGCTCATGACGATACATTGATGTGTAAAGACACGAAACGATCGGTCTGTGCAAGAAACTGAACAGTATTTATATCGTTTTTTTACCTCTGATTCATAGATAGATTAAGCAAAAGCCGGAATTAGTTTCAGAGTGTCATTTGTTAAAGTTAGTCGATAAGTTTGATCATTTGATAAAAGCCAAAGTAATATTTCAGAAAATTAGTGAGTCACTGTAAAACACTACAATGGATACAATTTGTGTTGAGGAGTTAAATTAATCACATTAACTGCATATGAGCATTTGAGAATCAATGGCAAAATTAGTACATAAAATCATCATCCATATCATGAACAAACCAGTATCATGTTGTTGTTGTTGTTTTTTTAGTTTAGCTGTTTTGAGGTTGAAGCATTGAGAACATTTTGAAAAGACTTTCTTGCATTGAAATCACTACATTTTGAGATTAAGATAAAAAACTACATTTATGTGATTTTTCATGAATATATTCACTTTTTTTAACCTGAATTCAAGGTTTTAAACACCATACCGACCATTGATCAAGTGTGTATTAATATTTTTTAAACTAGATGTTTTTCAATTCATATATAAACAGACACTTACAATACAAGAGAAGATAAAATTGGTTATGAAACCTGAATGAAATACATGTGGTCTGTGCTGTGATCTGTTTACTTTGACTGGACATGTTCAGTTGGTTTGTGCATATAATTTCTTGTAATATAATGATTTATTTTGCTCTGTAGTCTGTTCTGTAGCCATGTGTGATTTTAATTGCCATTTCATCCAGTTTTTCTTATGAAAGTGATGTAATGATGAAACTAGTCACAGTTTGATTTTTCCACTATATGTGCTGTTGCATCTGCAGGCTTCACATGATTTGTTTGTTTTGATTCACAGACTTGTGACTTTCTTTCTCTGATCTTCATTTTCCTCTTTTTCTTGATGTGGCCAAACATCTCAAGCATTTGATCTGATTCAGTCACATTCATAGAATCAACACTATCTTACATAATCAAACACTCTATATTGTGATTTTTAAATATTGATTTTTAATCATATCTGGCTGGTGTGTTTGACAACAGAAAATTGAACAATGCTGTCAGGAGGACGGGTCCAGGAGGTTTTAATGTGCTGTAATCGCTAAAGAGAAAAAAAGAATCTAATGATTAAAACGGTTCAGGGACGCTCTTTTATCATTATTTCCAAATACTAATTCATATTAATGAGTAGAAAGGGATATATTATTATTAAGGGTTTTCTCTTTTGTTCTCTTTGGTGAATATCTCACCTCATATTTGATCCTCTCTGACAAATCAGAATGACACTTCACAGGTCTGTCTGCATCATCATGAGACACTGGAAATAAAACCAAACAAAATCTGTTCATGTGCAGCTTATTTAATGCATAAATATAAAACCGTCTCTGTCTGATCTGTATTTGTAAAAGAAGCAATCACAGCTAATACGAAACAATGAAGTTGATAATACTCACGACAGGGTCTCATTCCATTCATACTGTTTCTCCTGGTGAGCTCCGTACACTTTTCTCTGGTATTCCAGTTAGTTTTGACACTTTTTCTCTGTACTCTATTTCTCACAGTCTTTACTCTGCTCATTTTTCTGAATTAGTTTCACGTTTCCTTCAGAACTTCAGTTCAAACGTTGTTGCAGTTCAGAAGAACTAGAGCACAATCAGTCATAAAAACTAAGAATAAACTTACAAGATGTATAAATGCATGTTATTCATTACAAAATGCATAAAACCCTGCCTTTCTGGCATCAGTTTGAGTGTCCCTGGCTTACCTTTCTATGTTTTCTTCCTTGTGATTTTGTGCACCAGGTCTGACATCATGCAACAAGTTTGAACTTGACTTGATGATTTCTGAGTTCTTTGAATTACTGCAATTGTCATCAGGAATACTATTGTTCAGCCCACTTATTTTTATGTATGTATTTACATTGCATTTAAGCTGTATATTTTTTATAGTTCATGCATTCCATGGGAATCAAACTTTTTCTGCGCAGTTGCAAACAGTGAAGCAAAAAATTTATGTTTATTTTTTTATATATATTGTAATTTTTAAAAACATTGTAAATTATGTTCATGGCTGCATTTATTCAAATGTGTTATATGCTCATATGTTATAGACAACATACAAAGTTTTTCATCAAATGTGACATATGTGAATGTATTTTCTTGGATTGAAATAGATGAAGAGCAAAATACATCAATATATACAGTGGAGATCAAAATTAGAGAACAATCTATAAATACTTGATTTTTTTCTGAAATTGTTAAACTTCATTGTTCAAAATTTGAAGGAATATTAGCTGTACATGTATCACTGTTATGCTAACATGTTTGACAAAATAACCAACACTGTAAAAAAAAAAATCCGTAAACTTTACGGTAAAAAACCGGCAGCTGTGGTTGCCGGAATTTTACCGTAAAAAATACGGTAGCAACGTTTTAGGTTTTACGGTTTTAACTTAAATTTACAGTTAAATACCGTAATTTCATTAACTGACATAATGTTAATATACCAATCTATTGAAGTACTGAAATCTGTTTTTTCACATGAAAGTCACATGATGAACCAAAGCCCATTACAAGCAGCTTTTAAATAATAACATATATAGAAGGTGCACAGTGTCATTCACACAAACACTAAACACCATCACGGTAACACACATGAAACTGAAGTAATGCAATAAAAATTCATTTAACAACATTAGGTGTATCACACAACCTTAATATACAAAACTGATAAGAAGAAACTAAGAACAAACATAGTTATTTCAACAAAAAAACATCAAATTTGAAATGTAACGCAGGGAATTCTGGGAATGTCAATTTACGGTTATTCACTGTAAATTATAGTCTTTTTCACTTCCAAAAACGGTATACTACCGTAAAATTACATGCAATGTCCAATACAGTTTTTCACCGTATATAGTAGGGGAATTTACCGTTAACCATTTAACAGGCTTTTACTGTAGCATTTTTACAGTCTTTAACCGTTAAATTCACGGTCATTTTTTACAGTGAACGCAATTCAACAAAAACTTTAACCACAGTGATCAGAATTAGAGAACAGTAACCACTGTAGCATGAAATATTATTACAACTAAAATTTTGGAGGGTTACAGCTGTCAGAA